TCATCACAACCTACACTGCCACAATCACCGTCATTACCCCACCACGACCGTTGCTGACCACCATCGATGTCGCCCACCTCCACCCACACCCACCAACACCATCGCCGTCACTCATGTTTGTCACTACCCACCACCATCACTGTTGCCAACCACCGTTTTCCACCACCACAACCATCACCGTCTTCCACCACATCCATCACCATCTTGCACCACATCCATCACCGTCTTTCACCATCACCACTACTGTCGTCCACTCTCACTACAACCGATATTTAAATTCATTTTTCTCTCCTCTATGTTTGGAATTTGATTTTAGGTGTGAATATAAATAAGTTAATTATTAAGCATTTTTTTTATTTCGTACCTTCAGACACGAGCAATAACTGATTATAATATGTAGTCCAAACTCTTAAAGCTTAAATGATCCAATCAATTACGGATATTTCAATATTTAATATGACCATCCCTCATATATTTGGAGATGAGTTCTTCACTACACATGCTGAAGAAAGAACTGAATACATTGATTTAAAACCTATAGATGGAATACAGAGACTTATTCATCTTCAACAATGCTACACAATTTGGCTTCCTGCTTGGCATACCTCAACAAAGATGTCCATTTGGGGGATGCATACAACAATTCTGTAACCAACATTTTCGACTCGAATGTGGAGTAGTCATACAAGAACCGGACTCAAACCAGCTGAGGGTTGGAAACTGGCAGCATATCGCCGTGCCCACAAGTCATAATGTATGATTTCCTCAAGCGAAGGCGAGGACACCAGCTCTGCCTCATGCTTATCACATGTTAGCTCCACGACCTTAAAAATGTCCAGGTAGTTGATCCTGAAAACAGGAAACTAATTCATTAGCTGAAAATTCCATGAGGGGCATATTCCGTATAAGCACTCAAAACATCTGATGGAACCTCAAAGAATTTCTCTGAAAAGGTATTTAAAAGAAAAATCCCTGGGTGACTTGTTGGGAAGGTAGTTTTTGCACCCACAAATGTTTCACCCCATCAAACCAGCACACTCCTAGCCTCGTTGTTAGCTTGGGCTCAACGATGGCACATAGAAGGCAAAAAAGGAACAGAAACTGGAGAAGTTGATATATTTGAGACTTCGATATTTTATACTTCTTAGATTCAACTTTTCATGACATCACCCATAACCCACCTTTTAATCCATTAAGCAATTTGGGTTCTTTTAGGTGAGGTCAAAAAATCGGGTTCCAACCATCTCAGCATCCATAAACTTAACAGGATTGATATGTGAAGTAAAAGTAAGTTATGACGACAAGAAAACACAGCCACTCTCCAAATAGAGAACTCATTTGCAGAGGGTGAAGCTACAGCTACCAAGAATATATTCCATTCACCATCAAAATAAGGCAGAAAAAGAACCAAGAATTAAATTTCAATACATGCAGATGATAAGTAGAACAAAGTACATACTTTTCATCGATAAACAGTTCAACAGCTTTCTCGTTAGCTGCACTAAGAACTCCAGTCATGGTGCCTCCAGCTCGCCCAGCAGCATAAGCCAAATCCATGGATGGGTATTTCACATTGTCAGGAGCTTTAAATGTCAAAGAACCAAGCCTGTTTCATCTCATTGAAGTTTTAATCATACAAAACCAAATAAGAATCAACAATATAGTCTAATGTTTTTCATGATTTTCATCTCACATTTAGCTGCAATGCAAAGATGCACATCATGGGAAATGGTCATGGCCTGTGTCTCAGAAAAAGCCTCCGCGCACGGAGTAAGGATGCGAATATCTAACCCTTTCCACACCTCATAGTGGAAGAAGTCTCGTACAATAGCCTGCTCTTTTTCATGTTATTTAACAACGAGGATTCACAAGGAACTAAAATGCAGACCTTGATAGACACATATGAGGCACATGAAATTTGCATCCATTTGCATGAGCAGTTTATAATAGCAGTTCAGCTAGTTTTAGCCCCTTCCTCATCTACAGTCACTTGTTGACAAGTAGATAAGCAAAAAGTGACTTGCCAATTTGGTATTTTGTAAGAAAGTAACTGTGTCAAAATTTTTCTTCTTTCTGTTGAACAAATAAGTGCTTTAGATGACCAAGGAACATTGAAGTCACTGTGTACATTTGTCCTTGCAAAAGAATGTAGGCATATAGAAATAGTATCCTGATTCCTGACAACTGGATTAATTTTTTGCCATTATCAAAAGTGAAATTACTCGTGATAATGGAACTTCAACTTTGAAGTTTACCTTCATAAGCTGTCAAAGAATGAAAGAATATAAGCCAATTTAAAACTGTAATAAGAAAGAGAAGTGTGCTATTTACTTGCACAGATCAAGGCGGGGCCAAGTAATCTCAGAGCAGTAAATTCTGTCTGGCCAGGATAATGTGTAGAGGATTGGTAGACGCATATCAGGCCATCCCAACTGTGCAAGGACAGATGAATCCTGCGAAGGGGGAACAAAAGAAAGAAATTCCCAGCTGTCAGATTTGATAGATAAACGGGATGTCTTAGACATAATCCAAGGCCAGGACAGGATAGGAGTTAAACCTGTGTCTCAACCATTGAGTGTATGATGGACTGGGGGTGAATAACAATCTCAATATCATCATATTCAGACCCATAAAGATAGTGAGCTTCAATAACTTCTAGACCCTGTCAAGATGGAAAAGAACTCATTATACAGTGTCAGGCAAGAAGGATCTGGCTGCTTACTACTCAGACATCAGTTCATAATTGGAGCTGTTTATGCAAAATATAACATGTTTTTTTTTTTTTTTTGAGCGAAGGGGAAGAGAGAAAGAGAGAATGGCACCAGAATGAAAATGGAGGCAACGGAGGGAAATTACCTTATTGAAAAGGGTAGCAGAGTCCACCGTAATCTTTTTCCCCATATTCCAGTTAGGATGCTTCAAGGCATCAGCTACTTTAACTTCTTTCAGTTTATCAACCGGCCAATCCCTGTCACCAACTATACTATCAATGTCTAACTCGTTTCGAGAAAGGACCCATGATGCAAAGTAAAAATCAGCACAAGCGAATTACTTTACAAAACTTGATAGATCAAAAAAATATATGAGATACAACAAGGAAAAGGAAAGATCAAACCAGCAATTTATGAATGTATGAACAGGAGATTATCAATTTTGAATAACTTATAGATTACATTATGATAAAATGATGAATAAAATTGAACTCTAAAAAGGAAACCGTAATCATCACTTTAACTAAAGGTTATTGCATTACTATGATATGCATAGAAACAAAACATAAACAAAGATGCATGAAAGACAAGATACAACATGAACTTTACCTCAATCAGACATTGCAAGTACAGATTACTGTATACATTAGTGAAAGGAAGCTGAGAACTAAGATGTTCAGAATTGCTTATTCATGATTTTCAATGTTGCAAAGACAGAATACATGCTACAGATAGATTTTCAAGTCCAAATCAAGAGTTTATATCTGAAATTATGACATCATACCTAAAAGCTCCGCCAGATGCAGTTAAAATAATGCGCCTAAGTGCACCCTCTGGCAAACCTTGAATACACTGAAGATTGAAAATTTCCTTTAGCTATTATAATCAGCATGGAGTACATAAGTATGCAGGGCTATGCAACTTGCAGGAAAATGAATCCATGGTAATATGCTGACTTTCACAACAAAAGCAATTAAATTCTTTCTACACAAGTCGTCCAGCATGGACTTATCTATCGACAAAGATGTGTTTTGATACCTGGAATATAGCAGAATGTTCTGAATCGGCAGGAAGAATTTTCACTTTATGCTTGTTAGCAAGAGGAAGGACAAAAGGACCGCCAGCAATTAAGGTCTCTTTATTGGCCAAGGCTATGTCTTTCCCCGCTTCTATGGCAGCCACTGTAGGCTAACAAAGAAAAATAAGGTAGTAAGAATAAATTGAATCTAAACATTGAGAACAGCATTGATTCATTAATTGATTAGGATACTTTAGGTTATAGAAGAATGCATCAAAACTTGTAGAGAAGCATAAAGCAGTTAAAGCAGCAGCTGAAGATCATCAACGGAAGGCAAGCAATTTAGTCAAATAGTTGCACAATCAAATGTTCTATTAAAAGCTGCAAACCGTTTCTATGTGCGTGCATGTGGAAAGGTGTGTGCTTGTGTGTTGTTCCTATCTTTACAAGTTATTACCTTCTATTTAGGGACGTGGTAGTGTTCGGAAAGAAAAAGTAACAAGAGAACATGAAATACTACTAAGTTCTAATCAAAGGCAAATATTCTCTCCCAATTTTGTCTTTCTACATGAATAAGTAAAGCTCCCCATCACCCATCCTCTTGTCCAAGAAAGAAAAATAATATTTTACCAGAAACTAGATAAAAGTTTATATAAAGATGTAGTGTGAATTTCAAACTCTGTCCATAGCTTGTTCAGCATAGTAGATTCTTCATGCCACAAAGATGCAAGACTATAAACATGTTAATCATTGACATTATCAATCACTTCAAACAATCATTGATGTGTACATAAGCAGAAGAAACTCTCGACAGTCCATGACAGTCATTATCATGAATAAAGATGAACTTACATGCGCAAAACAGAGTATACAATGTATATATACATGTTTGTGCATGTACAAGGAAGTACAATGAAGGAGTTGAACAAAAATATCATTCCTCATTTTGTTTTATAATATATCATTATAGTGAATAATCGAACCAAAACATCTTGCCTATCATACTTATGGATGGAATGAGACATTCACAAAAAATATTACAAATTTACCTTTAATCCTGCACAACCAACTATTCCTGTTACTACAGTGACGGCATCCGGGTGGCGGGCAACCTGAAATTAGATTTTTTAAGCAATGACCACCAAGAATGAGATCAACTTCGATCAGGGAAACAAAAGAGAGTGGAAAATTGATGCTAGGTAACCTCAATGACGCCCTGCTCTCCAGGAATAATTTCAGGCTTGTGTTCAGCATCCACCAAAGCCTCTTTGAGTTCATCAACTAATGACTCATTTCTGACAGCAACTAATTGAGGTTTAAAGGTCTTGACCTGTATGACGAACATGTTGATGATAGGATTCCAAAAATATATACAACTGCATGAGCATTTGCTTTGCAGACATACTGAGAACAGAACTACAAATGCAAATTATTATGAGCATGGGCAGATGGATATTAACAGTAAGGCCACCCTTAAAAATATGAAAGCTGGTTTCAGTATCATATTATTCAACTGATGGAATACCAATTAACATATCCTTAAGATGCTGTAAGGACAACTGTACGGACAATTGTACTGGTGCTTGATGGATGTCGCAGTTGTAGCAGTTGAAGCAACAGCTGTGACAACTGACAAATGTATATATGGTGGTAACAGGCTACCATAGTTGACATGGTATTGGTGATGACAATTCCGGTTGTTGCCATAGGGATGAATTGCTGACAGAAGTTGATAGTACTTAGTTATTAATTACTTCACCTTAAGGATTTTAAAATAACATTATGTCAAGAGAATTTGTTTGGATCTGGGATTCAAAATTACTACGCCAAGGATCAAATTTTACACAAAGAATTTCCAAATACCTTTGTGCTCTCAAATCCGTCCCAAAAAATCTCAATGAAGGAAAACCTTTATGCATAGATGGAGTAATAAAAATCGACAGAATTTATGATATATATATTTCTTAGAAAATAAAGGGACCAACTACCAAGGCAACAGGATGCTGGCACTTTTGACATTTATTTCAATGGTTTGTCAAGCAACTAAACTCAGGTTGCTGCAGAACAATTAGGACTATTCAGCATTGGAAATATAACTGAATGATCACCTGATCAGCAAGAAGAGTGACATTTGAACCAGCCGCAAGTGCCACGACTCTGAACTTGTCTGGATTCTCCGCAACTATGTCCAATGTCTGTATGGTACCAACACATATAAACACAAAGCAAATGCATGCCATTAGTTTGACCAAAAAGCAAAGTAAGGTTTATCCAGTTCTATCTGTCAATAACAGCCAAAGAGAGAGAGAGAGAAAGAGGATTTGAAAGCAAATTTAGGTAAAAATAAGGCCTACTCCATCATTAGTTGGGTTCAAGACATGAAAATTGACTCTTGTTATCAAAATAAGCACTAATGCAAAACCATCAAATATCAAGAGTAGTTGGTTTCTTTAGATAATGTTTAATCAATCCATAGCTTGTGGAAAAGATGCGAGGGAAGAAGAAAGTTAAAAAAAAATTCCAATCAAATTAACAGCACAAATTCTTCACCTGAGTTCCAATAGAGCCAGTGGATCCAACAATTGATATAGGCTTTGGACCGTCCCAAGTCTTACGATCAGGCTCAACAACAGCCCGCCCTGGCCAGGCCGGGGGAGGACCCTGTACTGAGCAATGTATTCTTTTCCCATATACCACTCCATTGGCCTTCCTCTTCAAAGCTAATCCACCTAAGAAAATAGAATAATCACAAATAAACAAACTTGAACAAACTATTATCCACGGATCCACAAAATATGGCCGCACTATGATATATACTTTACTAGCCAAACCAAACCAAGTATTATGTCCCAATCATTTGGAGTCAGACTAATGATATATACTTTATTCCAATTCTAAATTGAAAGATTCTACCCTCACAACAACCATTTAAAGCCAAATAATCTCCATGACAAAAGGAAGCCCTCCAAGTTTTAAATTTCAAGATAATAACAGATACCCTTTTATTCATAAACAGAGAGAGATAAAGACACCATTTACGCTTGCAGAGCTATTACAATCGAATCTAGCAAATTGCAATAGAGGAACACAAGGAACCAAAAAGAGGTATATAACAAAATGTACATGACTTATTTGAATTCAGCTCAACCTAACACCAAAAGAATTAGTCTTTACCGGCCAAAGTCTTGAAATTTTGAGCTACGTCAAACTCATTATTTATTCCAAATTTATATACAAAATCAATCACAACACGTTCAAATCAGTATCTATGAACAACCCACTTTGAATAAGCCCCCAAAAAAAAAAAACTTCAATGTTCCAAACCACGACAAAACATAAACATCCAATCACAGCAAGAAGTAGCAAAGTCTAACAGAATGTATTGATCAATCTGTAGCCCAATGTTCAGTGAGAAAGAAAGAGAGAGAAACCTTGAAGCTTGAGGAGGTTGTGGTTGGATTTAGAGGTCTCCAAGAAGGAGATAGCCTTGATTTCCGTCGGCGAGTGCAGATTCAGAGCCATATCGCTATACCCACTTTCCAATGGATTATGTTTATGAAATGGACCAAAAAGAGAGAGAACTTGGAAAAGCAAGTGATAACTGTGTGGAGAAAGAGAATGGGGATTACTATGTGGTTGGAGTAAGAGAAGAGGCCTCTTATAGCCAGGAACAGAGAGCGACAAAGAGACAAGAGAGACAGCGAGAGAGAGAGTAGGGAAGAAGAGGACGAATCGAGGATAAGACGACTTGGGAATCAGCACTTCTCGTGGACTGCATGCGGTTTTATGTATGTTTGTTTTTATGCCTTCTATTTGCCTCAACTAGTTTTATTCAGCCACGTGCAAATTACTCTTTTACATTTTTTTAAATATATTTGCTAAGGTTAATTGCATTGCAACTCTCGATCAAATTGTGTAATTTAAATAATTTTTTAATTAAAATTTGGATAAAAATTTGATAAAGAATTATTCAAATTATTTTTTACTCATATTTAAGTATTATTTTTTGCATGAGGAGAACTATATATAAATATATTCAATATTTTAGAGGCTAAAATGATACAATTAAAATATTTGATACCAAAATGAGACAAATTTCATATTTTAGAGACTTTTGGTGTAATTAACCCCATTTATTATGATTAAAATATTTATTAGATCTGAATAATTTTTTTTTTGAATTAGATTTGAATAACATTATTCATTATATCCTTCTGCCATATGAAATTTTTATCTCCACTCTCATTAATGGTAAGCATACATTAAAAAAAAATTGCAGTATTAATAAATGACTAGCCAACAAGCTCCATTATCTATATTTAAAAATTCATTGGACCCCACGCCATATAGATAAGGTCCATAGGGATTCACTAATGAGAGCAAGGAAATTTGAGGGTGGAATGACATTTTAAATTCTTATATTTTTAATTTACACTTTCAATTAGATAAAGAAGTAGCAATGTATTGAAAAGTAAATGTTAATTGTTTTTTTCGACAATTTTTTTGTTGTATCTGTCATATTATCCTATTTCTATACACAAATTGCTCGAATAATACTCAATTTAAAGTGTTTTTAGCAGAATTATATAATTTAATGTTCTAAAAATGAAGTACATTGATGACTTTTTATTTGATTAAGGGCGCAATATAAGAATCTCAATCTTTTAAGTAGTAAATTGACAATACAAAATTTTTTTGGGGTCAAAATACAATTTGTCCTAAATTTAATTTCTTGTTCAAAAACGAAAAAGACCTAAACACGTTATAAGGCTATCATTCGAGTCCCCCCCAGAGGCACAACATTGTGTTGAGTTTGCATAAGATTACTTTTACATGTGTCGGTGTTTTGATTGGGTGTATCATACAAAAAAAAAAAAAAAAAAGTATTTTGGTATCGAGTAATGCTATATAAACTTAAAAACTAGACTTGATAATCTCAACCATTGATTTTACTGTGGGTTCCAGCATTTATTGAAACCCACTACCTATTCAATACTTGAGATTATCAAATCTAATTTTTAAGTGCATATAACATTACTCTTTTGCTGTCATAAACTAACACAAGTTACACAATACTCTCTCCATTCCTAAATATATGTCGTTTAAGGTTTTTGCACAAGAATTAATGAAACTATTAAATATCTCTCTAATATGAGTAAAAAATAATTACACAAAATTAAAATATATTTATTCAATATATATTAGGAAGAAAAAGAATATGAAAGACACTTAGCCTACACCTAATCTAATGCATTGAAAAGTTAAGGGTAAATTTGAAAGAAAAAATATTAAATATGTTTTAATTTCATTAAAGGACATATATTATGAAACAAAAAAAATTGTGTAAAACAACAGATATTTAGAAACAGATGAAGTAATATAAAACGGAACAATAGTGGATATTGTCGTATGTTAAAGTTGTTCTATTATAACTTGTGCGTTTAGAGTTGGAGTGACGAAAATAAATATTACGTACAGAGATAAAGTTACAAATATATCTGACATCTCTAAATTTTATAATGACGAAAGTTTGATGCATTGAATTGTGCTTTTTTATCGGTAATGTAATTGGATGATGTATCTATTTGAGAATTTTGAATGGTAGTTTAAGTGGTAACAGAGACGAGATACAAATTCAAACATTTTGAGTTTAAATTTTAATAATTCTTTGAGTTGTGTCATAAGAGATTTATCCCTCATAAATATCTTAGTTCCGGCGTAAATGGTATGTCTTTAATCGGATCAGAGAGAAAATTAATTGAAACGTGCGTAAATTAATTTAGATATCCCTAACTTTGGAACAAAAAGAAAAAAAGATGTACCCATCAAGGCATATGACAATGGTATCCCACCAAATGGAGATCGGAAGAGATCCTTAGCAAATTACGGTTTATTAGTTCATTAAGAAAATGCTGACCCCCACCCACCACGCGTTCTTCAAAACATGTGTAAGCCATTAACAACGAAAACTCTAACTCTAATTAAGTTAATTCGTAATCCTATCAAATTAAGTTCGTATTGGAGTTCTCCATTTCTCGACTTTGAATTATGTAACATGTCAAAATCTTAGTGACAGTCCTTGGTAGGAAGATAATCAAGTTCGAATCACTTTATCACCTAGGTCGATTGGCATGGATTTAGAATAGTTGTAAACCCATGAATTAAAATTATAGTTACGACTTACGATAATAATGAATAAATATAAATTAACATGAACTCTAAAAACCATCTTACAAAAGAAAGGTGTTCAAGAAATTCTATTGTCTTTTATGATACTTTTTTATTTTTTGGTTCACTTACAATCTGACACGTGCTCAATTTTTTTTTTTTATTTTTACATTATTTTCTTGATTATAACTATAAATAACTCAAAGTAAAATCTAGATTGAAGATTCATTAATCTGCGTGAAATCAAAAAATAATTTTAAGAATCATACCGTGTTATTTGGCAATTAGAAAGGCCTAAATTTGTGAAGTATGCACTTTGACAATTATTTTGAGATTGCTACTACAGGACAGTGATGTAAAGCCTAACACACCATTTTTCTGATGTAGATGTGAAAGGTCTTGGCCATTTTCTTTGTTTCACCTCACAAATTGTACTTGTTTGTGCTCTTTCATGTGATTCACGTCCAATGCATACATATGTCCCAATCAGAACGTTATATCAGCTGAAAGTTAATGGTTTTTTGGTTTGAGGCCGAAAGAAAATAGGGATAGGAATGAAAAGGTCAGAGTAAATACATGCAGTTTTGTTTGGTTGAATGCCAAGCAGATGGAGGGAAGAGTGTTTTTGGCATAAAAAATAGGGGTCTAACCACCGTAGGCGAGATTATCGAGCGGGGTGGTCCAATGGAGTACTCATTAGAACTTGGTGTTTGAATTTCTCACCTTAGGTTTGTTTCTAAGATGAGTAACAGGCGAGATTAGGACCTCGTGACCCCACCGGCGAGAATTTATCGGAGTGATATCTAGACCCTTTTCCTTTTCTCCACTCCTTTTTTTCAATAAACAAAAAATATCGTACGAGAATAAATAAAAAGTGCAGATATTTTTATTTTAATATTCCTTGTTGCTTTATTAATTTATTATTCAATAGCTATAATAAATTTCGATACTGATTCTAAATTTTTTTTGGGGAGGTTCCGTACATATCCATGCAAGAATTGTTTTAAGTCCAAATAGCCAACAGAATCTTCTCCTAGATTAAGGAACTAACGTGTGTGAAACGGATAATCCACGTGGTTAACGAGTGAAGACTGATAACGTCAAAGTTAAACACCCATCGAAAATGATATACCATAATTACAAGAATTAAAAAAATTAGATATACCCAATCTTATTTTAAAAATTATTTTCACGAGTTAAACCCTCCGTGCCCATAAAACTCAATTGAGGATGATCCATGAAAATCAAATCAGTACCATCGCAGGGTTTTTCGTGTTGATTCGGGGTGGGTGGAGAGATATAAACCATATGATTTTCATTACAATACTGAAATGAGTATCATTATTTATTTTTCAACTAATAAAAATATACCACGTGTAAAATTTTTATATTATTTTTTCGGCCAATGGGATCAAATCAACTGAGATTAATAGATATACAATACCAAAGTCAGTACCGTAGTCTTGGATCATACTTGAAACTCGCCCTTTCCCTCTTCATCATCTGGAATTAATGGTTAACATGGAGTGCAGAACATCGACAAACTAATGGAGATCCAATCAATAGAAATGGTGTTAAGCCTTAACTACAAAATTTGGCTCAACTACTGAAGCTAAGGTCTGAGATCAAGCATTCTGATAAAGAAGCTGAACAATTATATAGGTAAAAAGGCAGAAAAAAGCTTACACATAATGGAGCATAAACCATCTTTCCTTATAACAAGAGTTGTCATAATTCACCTTTCATTGTCTATTTCATCTTTTTTTTCCTATGAAAATAAGTCTCCAGGTACACACTTTAAATATTCAGTTTGTTAAACAATCTAATGAAAGAGAAATACAAGAGATAAGAAAAGAGGACGCTAAAGTTTTATTGATATTGCATAATTTAATTGAATATAAAGAAGTGATTTAACTTAAATACAAAGAGATTATATATAGACTAAACAAAGGAAAAGTAAATGACTATTCTATCCTTAATAAACAAAATAACCCTATATTTCTTAACAACTCCCCTCAAACTCACGATGCGGCAGCTACAAGCATCGAGAGTTTGTCAATTAGAAAACGAAAACGAGAAATAGAATGCGACTTAGTAAAGAAATCTGCAATCTGCAAAAAAGAAGAAACAAGAGGCAAAGTAATGGTGTCATGTTTGAGATGATGACGAGTAAGGTGACAATCGATCTTAATGTGCTTAGTTCGTTCATGAAAAATTGAGTTGTGAGCAATTTGAATAGAATTTTGGTTGTCATAATACATAAGAGTGGGATGAGAAAGAGTAACTCTCATATCTACAAGTAACCAACGTAACCAAACAATATCTTTGGTAGTAGGTGTCATAGCACGATATTCTGCTCTGGTTGAAGATTGAGAAACAATAGATTGTTTATTGCTCTTCCAAGAAATAAGAAAATCACCAAAAAAGATACAGAAACCAGTAACAGACTTACGATCTGTGGGATCACTGTTATGATTAGCATCAGAGTATGCACACAGCTCCAAGGAAAAAGTGGATGGAAGTAAAAGACTTTGAAAGACTATACCTCGAAGATACCACAAAATACGAAAAACAGCTGTCCAATGAACTGTAGTAGGAGAAACAACAAACTGACTAACAACATGAACAACATTTGCAATATTTGGACGAGTAATAGTGAGATATACCAAGCTCCCAACAATAGTACGGTATAAAATAAGATCTGACAAAGGTAAATCATCAGAAGAAGAATACTTTGCGTTAACCTCAATGGGAGTATCTACAGTCTTATTATCAGTAAGTCTAGCTCGCTCAAGAATATCTGTAACATATTTCGACTGAGAAAGAAGATAACCTCCGGGTGAATAGGCTACCTCAATATCCAAGAAATATCGTAGAGAACTCAAATCTTTCATTTCAAACTGTCTAGCTAACTCTGTCTTTAAAACTGAAATACCATAAATATCATCGCTAGTAATAATCATGTCATCAACATATAAAGACAAAATGATACGACCTGCATCAGTGCACTTAACAAAAAGAGCAGAATCATGACTACTAGAAGCAAATCTAAGGGAAGAGATCACAACAGAAAATTTCTCAAACCAAGCACGAGGTACTTGTTTGAGACCATATAACGTTTTATTGAGCTTGCAAACATACCCAAAATCAAGTGAAATACCAGGAAGGGGCGCCATATAAACTTCTTCTTGAAGATCTTCATTCAAGAATGCATTTTTAACATCAAGTTGAGAGATATGCCACTGACGAACCGAAACAACTGCAATAAGAGTACGAATAATAGTCATTTTTGCAACAGGAACAAATGTCTCCTCATAATCCATACCATATTGTTGAGAGTACCCTTTTGCAACCAACCTAGCTTTGTATCATTCAACAGATCCATCAGAATTAGTCTTGATCTTATACACCCAACGACAACCAACAACACTCTTACCAGGAGGTAAAGAAACCAAATCTCAAATACCTGTCTTATGCAAAGCAGAAAGTTCCTCATCCATAGCTTGCTGCCAAAGAAGATCAAGAATTGCCACTTTATAGGAAGAGGGCTCAGAGAGACAATGAATAGAAGCTAAAAAAGAAGTAAAAGATGAAGAATAACAAGAATAAACAAAATCTGATAACTTTGTGGACTTACGAATGCGTATGGATTGACGTAGAGATGGATCCACAATCTCAGATGGAGCTTGAGGGACCATAGGAGAAGAGGTAGCTTCAGGTGTGCTAGAGAGTAAAGTGTCAGTACCTGCAGTATGATCAGTACAAATTGGTCGAGAGTATAATGTAAAGGTAACGGGGTAAGAACATGAGAAGGGGTATTCGAAGTATTAGAAACTTGAAATGACAAACTATCAGAATCCTCAGAAAAAGGATCCATACGAATAAGATCAGATCTAGTCAAACTATGAGTAGTGGATGAAATAGAAAAGAAAGGTATATGCTCAAGAAAAACAACATGACGAGACACATAAAGTTTCTGAATTATTGGATCAAAACAACAATACCCTTTTTACCTTCACCATAACCAAGAAAGACACAAATAGCAGATCGAGAGAATAGCTTGCTGCGTTCAACATGAGGACGAAGAACGAAACAAGTACAACCAAAAATTCTAAAGGAAAAATAATCAGGGACATACCCATACAACTTTTCAAAAGGAGAAACATCTGAAATATGAGAAGATGAAATTGTATTAATCAAACCTACAGTAGTAAGAATAGCTTCACCCCAAAACACACTAGGAACAGAAGTAGACAACAAGAGAGAACGAGCAGTTTCAACAATGTGCCAATGTTTTCTTTCAGCAACACCATTTTGCTCAGGAGTATCTGTACACGAAGTTTGGTGAATAGTTCCATCTAAGGCAAACAACTCATCAAATTTATTGGAAGTGTATTCCCCACCCAAATCACACCTAAAACATTTGATAACAACAGAATGTTGAGTTTTGACAAGATCTCGAAAAGTTGTATATATCTCAAAGAATTCAAAACGATGTTTCATTAAATAAATTCAACAAAAACGAGTATAATCATCAATAAAAGAAACATAATATCGAAATCCTCCTTTTGTGGCAACAGGAGAAGGTCCCCATACATCAGAATGAATCAAATCAAATGGAGAAGAAGAAACAAAAATACTTCAATTAAAAGGTAAAACTGAAAATTTTGCTAGTTTACATCCACTACAATCAGAAATATCACAAGTTTGCAAATTTCCTAAAGCCCCTGTGGATGCCAAAAATCTCAAACGAGAAGACGAAACATAACCTAGACGAGAATGTCATAAATAAAAACTAGAAGAAGAAAGACTCAAACGAAAAGAAGATAAATCAACACTAGTAGCAAAAGCAGTAGCAACAACAACTGGCACTTTTAACTTATCCAAAATATATAGTCCCCCCTTCCTACAGCCTATCTCAATCAGCTTCTGAGACTGCAAATCTTGCATATAACAAGAAGAAGAGGAAAAGGTGACTAAATTACCAGAATCACATAACTGACCAACAGAAGCAAGATTTAATGTGAGTTTTAAAATATGATAAACATTAGGGAGAGACAAGTGAGGTGTAACAACAGAACCAACACCTGCTAAAGGCATAGGAGTGCCATCAGCAGTCATAACAGAAATAGAAGATGAAGGAGACACAGAACTAAAAGATGAAGAATCTGGAGATATATGATGTGAAGCACCAGAATTCAAGACCCATACAGAATGTGACATACCTGAAGAACTATGAGGCAACTGACCTACGGAAGAAGAAACAGACATTGCTTGTGGCTGTAAGAAGAGAAACTTCTGAAATTGTTCAGCCAAAGTACTATAATCGGTGAAAGGACTTGATGAAGCCTCTGCTGCAGTATTAGACTGTGGTGGTTTGTAACCCTGAGGTGGTTTATGAGCATTAGATTGTGACTGGTTGCCAGGCTTCCAAGCTTGAGATTGCTGCTGCGATTGATTCTGTTGTCTTAACTTAAGACATTGAGTCTTCCAATGACTTTTCTGTTTACAAAAACTACACTCGTCGAAGGCAGTCCTTGTGTAAGGCTTATTCTGATTATTAGAAAATGGTTTAGAAGATATTGCTAGCATAGAAGGATTAGAAATAGAAAGAATTCCCTTTTTAGAATTAGACTTAAGGCGTATTTCTTCAACCAATAACTCACTGACAACTGAGTCAACAAAAGAAAGTGGAGAATGATGCAAAATTGAACCTCTAAATTCTTCAAAATCACTACGAAGTGCCGTTAAAAACTGTATCAACCGTTGTTGTTCTCTACGAGCAATATAGGCACCACATGCCTTTAATTTGGTCGATTCTGTAAGAATCAATTGATCCCAAAGATTTGTCATAGCAGAATAAAACTCCTGAATACTCATATTCCTCTGCTGAAAAGCTCGTATATCATTCTCCAATTGATACTGTTTTGCAAAATTTGATTGAGTGAATAACCTTTACAGATGATCTCAAACCTCTTTTGTTGTCTCATACTTTGTCAACTGTGTACCTATAGAATTCTCAACAGAGTTATTAATCCAAGTAATAATTTTTGTATTGTCTGCTTCCTAGGCATCTATCAAAGCAGCATAATCCGCATCAGTATTTTTAGGTTTCACAGAAATTCCACTAACATATCCCCATATCTTTTTACCCTCAAGAAAATTTCTCATCACATAACTTCAATACGAGTAATTATTTACATCCAACCTCACACTCACAAACTGAAGCGAATCGTCTTTTTCAGTAGCCATAATCAAAAAACAAAGAAAACCAGATTACAAAAACGGAACGAATACCTTCTCAAAAAAAAATTAAACCTTGTCCCATGAAACTTTGCTTTGATACCATGTTAAACAATCTAATAAAAGAGAAATACAAAAGATAAGAAAAGAGGAGGCTAGAGTTTTATTGATACTGCATAATTCAATTGAATACAAAGAAGTGATTTAACCAAAATACAAAGAGATTATATATAGACTAAACAAAGGAAAAATAAAAGACTATTTTACCCTTAATAAACAAAATAACCCTATATTTCTTAACACAGTTTAGGTACATACACGTACGTGATCAAATGGATTGATAATTGCCACAAACAAGTCCTTGGATTATCGTTATCAACTCATAATGATGGAAATAAGTACCTTAGATCGACCCCTTTCAGTTACTCTCTTCAAGTCTCAATGTAAGAGTTGTCTTCGTTTTGTATCTCATTTCTGTTCAGCTCAGAGATCCCACCATTAGTCTCTTCTACACCTCCTGACTCTGATATTTTTGTGATCCTTTGCAACTCATCGGTTATATCTGAAGAACGGGCCAGTAACTGATCATCTGTCAATTCTTCTTTTTGAATTAATGATTTTTTTGGCTGTCGAATGGCTGCAGCTGCTTCTGGCATTACCACAGGAGGTGGCTGGGGAGGAACCCACGAGCGTTGAACTGGTCGGCCATTGGTTAGCACACTAGAAGACCCAGTCTTGTGTTCATCTTCACTTTCAATTTCTGTGATTCTGACATTTTTTCGTTGCCACCAAGGCACTGAACTGTCTCCATTCAACTGATTACCGAGTCCATTGTCCTGAAAAATGGAGTCCAAGCCATCACTACTTTCTTGAGAATGAAGCACATGGTTTGAGGTATTCTGAGCTAGACCGAACTCCCAAGGCTATTCGAGATAACAACAACAGTAATCAGTTTCATCTGGTGTCAATGCATTACAATGACAGCCTGTATCCCAATGAACCACTCAAATAAGATGAAAAGTACTCAGATGATCAGATTGCAGAACGCTACCATTTCTGGTTTGTGAAAGTCTCAAAATATTTTACCAAACTAGCATGTACTAAGTGTTAGTTCCCAAGTATGTCGGAGAATGGTATGCAACAATCAATAGTCACAATGGTTGGAGTGTTTGAACAGTCACATTACATAAGTACAGGTAAGCAGCAATTCAGTTCACTAAACTGCAACTGAGAACATGATAATAGTTTTACTATATTCAAAAACTAACTTGGCAGTGTCAGTGGAATCCCCTCTTAGCTAGGTGACACAGAACATACAACACTTCAAGACTGACATACATGCATATGCCTAGCATTTAAAGTCTAACGTGTACACATTTAACAAAAACATACATGATCCAATTTTAAAAATTTACTTTTCATAATTCATACACCTATAAATTGAATCGGTCCACATTTATCCATGAACTAATTGCACACAAAAATTGGAACATTGAGATGCAAGATAACTCGAGAAAGCCAACCTGAGGTCTGGGTGTTATGTGAGGAATAGACACTGGCTGATTAGGATTGGATGGTAGATCATTGATCTTCTGAGATAAGAAAAAACAAAACATGAAAATAAATGAACTAGAAAAGATCAGCAGTAAACCGCACAGTGTAGTCAAACTCAGAATAGATATGGGAAGAAATAGATTTACTCTAATGTTAGGAGGTCTCTCTCCTCTTTGAACCATTGCCACGCTCTGCAACATGATTCCAACATCAGAATATGAAAAGATTTCATGCTCCATTTTAAAGTAATTGAAAACTATAAATCTTGTAGAACAAGGATATCACAATGTATAAAACATGAAGAACATCAACACATCTTTCAGTAATAAAATAACTTGAAAAAGATAATGAAACTAGATCTCAAGGTAGGCATTTGTCTAAGTTTCACACATTTTATTAGTTTCTTTTTGTATACCTGTAAACTAATATTCATGGTATCGGACTGTCAGAATGGCGGTGACTATGATCTAAACTCCCTACATATTTCCCATTCGGCATTCATAGTTTTTATTTTCTTCTTTTGGGGTTTTGGGAAAGGGGAGGGGAATTGCAGACTTTTGAATAAAAAGTATTGACTTCAAAGGAACGAACTAGGATTTCTTAAACCGAGTTGGAAAGGGTGTTTAGGAGGACAATGGAAGGGTTTGTGCAACTATATAGATCACCTGTAAATGACTACCTAGAAGATATAACGTACATTGGAAAGATTATATAAAACAGTTTTGAAGGATCTAATTGCATCGATCTCTATTTCTGAATGACAGTTGTGTGCTTTTTACCATCAAGTGAACCAAGATGTGAGAAAAAAGACTGCACTCATGAACAGACCAGCCATTAATGTTTCAAAAAAAATTCTGGCCAATTGAGGGAGATGTTACCTCTGCATATGACTTTGGGTGAGGTGCAACAGAGGATTCCACAGTGGCAGGTGGAGATGAAGATCTCCCTGCATAGAACATTCCAATATATGAAATCGATATTCAAAGCATTTTAAAATAGTGGAGCAGCACTTCATCCCAGAACAATACCTGAACGCAAGTCAAAGTCCGCATTGCCATTTGCATATGATTGCTGGAAAATCGTTTGAATTAACTAAGGAACTCAATTTGAACACTTAACAACAGATCACAGCATGCCAGCTTCATATCATCTTTACAGATTAATAACCAAACTGAAATTATGCCTTTATCAAACTCACCCTTGAGACTGAGACTCTATGATCATCTTGTTCAGCAATAGATATTCTTCTAGGGGTATTACTTTGTCCTGATAATTAGACAAGAAATAAGATTAGAAAACGAATTCTCATCATTGAAAAACAAAACCGTTTTTAAGACTGGTAACAAAAAGCGGCAATAAGAATAAAAATAGAAAGGAAACCCAGTAATTTGATGTTTCTAAATTTCTGGCATGTAAATACAAACTATATGATGACTACAAAGACATGTCTAAATTTTGCTCATGCATAGGGAGTAATCATAAAAATGATAACTTTTGAGGGTGTGCCTTGGCTATTCTGACAGAGGCATCAAGGGTTTGAATCACGAAAACAGCCTCTGTGGAAAAAAGGTAGCCTATTTGCCAAGTCATTGCAGTCCAAGGCTGGTACAGTTCTGGTATTTTAGTTTGATCCTCACATCTTCTGTTCATGCACAAGGATCAAAATGTCGTGTCGACACGTCAGAAACGTCCGAAACGTTTCGGAATTTCAACACTCCGAAACGAAACAGTAGTTGAATCACAAAATTCCAGTGTTTCAGTCGAAACGGTACTGTTTCGGACCATTTCGGTCGAAACGGTACTGTTTCGGACCATTTCGGTCGAAACGGTACTGTTTCGAACCGTTTCGACAAAACAGTGATATATTCGGTTCATTATGAATAATTACATTTAATACCCCATTATAATTACATTTAATACTCACTATAATTATATTTAATATCCCACTATAATTACATTTAATTCCCACTGCTCTTCTGTCTTTTATAATTTTTTTGTTATAAGAATAAATAATTACACTTAATTACCCTACTATAATTATATTTAATACTCATTATAATTATATTTAATACATACTATAATTATATTTAATACCTCACTGCTATGCAAGTTTTTTGCTTTTTTTTTTGTTATAAGTATAAACAATTACATTTAATACCCTAATGTAATTATATTTAATACCTACTGTAATTACATTTAATACCCACTGCAATTACATTTAATTTTTAAGTATACATAAGTATCATTAATTTAATTTGATACCCTTCATTATTAGTATTATAATAAAATAGTATTATTAATTGGATTATATTACCGTAATAATATGATTTGGAGTAACTATTGTCATCATATTTATGTCACATATGGAGTTTCTCTAAGTAGCTACCCAGAGCCTACACCGATGTATGAGCCTGCTCGACACTCCACAGGGGAATGGATGTAACCATGTAAGTATGTACTCATTAGCATTTCATGTGTATTATAAGACCTTAATATTATGTAAAAATGTGTTTATTTCATAAAAATTAAGTGTTTGAAACTAATTTAAGTGACTTTCGCCTCAAGTCAAGCCTTTTTTCCCTCAAATTTAAATTTATTCTTGTATAAATTGATGTTAACCTAATAAATATGTTGAATTAATAAATTATTTAGCATATCTTTATAAATTAATGGATTGCATTTGTGTTTCTATGCGTTTCCATATTTTTTCTGCGTTTCCATTGCGTTTCCGAAATGTTTCCGAAACGTTTCTATTTTTGAGTTGACCGAAACGGTACTTCGAAACGAAATTTTGATCCTTGTTCATGCATATAAAAGGACAACTCAAACAGCACAAGGACTAGTGCAGTTAAATTCCAAGCCTATCTACCTTAAGAAAGTATAGCCAATCTATCACACACTATTGTTTTAAGGTTTTTTCAGATACTCCCTGGTGTGTCTCAGAACCTTTCTACTAATGACCTAAATTCAAGCAATTGCTACAAACTAGCAGGGTTTTGCAGACCATTTTCTATGTTTTTATTTTCACTCGAGTTTTGAAAGTTCAGAAAAATCTTCTATAAGAGCATTTCTCTAGCTGAAATTTGGCAAATTAGTGGTCATCAGTATGTATTTATTTTGACATAGCTTTGGACAGTCAACGGCTCAGCCTCTAATCACATAGCTAATAATAGTAAGGCAAGCCTTGTCTATCTAATTATAAGAAAACCTAGAGCACTTGGGCTTCAAGGGATGGGGAAAATTTGGAACCCTAACTCAGACCACGATGGAAAATTTATCCAAGGATCTAGAAGGAATACAATAGATGCTTTCTACAGCCAAGAACAACCTTTCACCCATTAAACAGTGGAAACCTATGATTAGAGTGTTAACAAGAGGGTATACATGAAAGATCCTTCTGTGTTACGCCATTCAATTCTCAATAATTGGCCACACCCCAAGTCAGTCCAGTGAGAAAACAGCTACATTTTAGAAGTTTGGACACCATATTACACGGATGTACGGGTGGACAAGAAAAGGCCTAACCTTGCTTTGGAATAAGTGAAATCGAACCTGCGATTCTCCTACTTGACACAAGACCCAACCATTTTATTAGTAAATCAAGCACTGAACCCTCAAGTCATCACCCATAAAGGAAAATAGAAAGAAAAATGCAGAAGATCGTCCAGCAGGAAACAATAGAGGGTGAGGGCTCAAAACATCAAGGTGCATCTACGCTAATAAAGTCTAAAAAATCTCCCTAATATAAGTACTTGAGAATGTGGTAGCACTACCCTTCAGACCAACAATATTCCTTTCTGTTAAGTGCTCAAAATAATCAACCCATTCTGGGGTCACAACCTCAACAATTATCTGTTAGGAAATTCCCTTCATGGTGGGACAATCAAAATTCCTAATCTGATGACACAGTAAAAACCCTACAAGTGGCCACTTTAGTTAGGCCTCCAAACCAATGTGGAATCCAGCTAAACAAGGACAGGTCATACATACAGATTTGCAGGAGCCAATAGAGAAAAACTGAACTTCTGTTCTCTCCGGGTTATCTACAGTTGGCAAAAAGCTGATATACAAAGAGAGCTAAGCCCCAATTGCATGAGTCAAACATTTGACGTAGAGCATCCTAATTGGAACTAGATGGGTATAAAGTGCAACAGAGAAATCACTAGATAAGTTTTGAAAATCATCTACAAACACGTGAAAATCTCACTTTGTATACAACATATGGTAGTCAATTGTTTTTCCTTCATGGTCAATATTCTAGTCAGCAAAAAGACTAGCAACGACTTGCATGATATAACCATTTCCAGCCTGGGAGTCGCTGAATCCATTGCATATGGACAATAGACAACAAATGGCCCATCGAAAGACGACCATGACACAAACATGGAGCAATCGAACAAGTTAAACAAAACGAAAAACTGGAACGTATTAGAAATTGCTCTTTAGGATTAAAGACCACTGTTGTTAAATGTGTTGGGATTTAACAACAATTTAAATCCACTAACAAACACACACAATCGAAGAACAAATCAAGAATATAAAGCAATAAAGAACAAGAAAGAACAAGACACAGGTTTTATGTGGTTCGGCAATTTGCCTACGTCTACGAAACTGCAGGGATTTCACTATTGAGAGTGTTGAATACAGAGAGCGGCTGTACAATCCACCATGTTAACCCTAATCACCAAAACAACGTGTTTTATATGTCCTACGCATTGGGCTATATAACGGGCCCAAAAATTTTCCTCGGGGGCTACGAGGCTTGTCCATGAGCGCTACGGCTTGGGCCTATCGGCCCAAGCCTTCGCTCCATGCACTAAGCCTCAGAAAATTTTTCATTAAAAAATCACACAACATTACTTCGGGTCAGGTCATCGTCCGGATCACATATACAAACTAAACTCCACAAAAAACCAACAAAATGTTGAAAAATACTCCGCATAAAAGATGGAAAGACTCTTCAAAGAAGGGAAAACGTCTGAGCAATTCACATGAGCAAGCTTAAGAAAACACTTTTTAGACTCAATGACGAAATTGTTGTTCAAGGTTGTCAATTGAACAATATAAGGTAATAACAATATCCATTGAAGAATGAGACATTATAAACCAAATATGCCAAAGTAAGCACAAACAAAGTTGACAATCTAATCAGGTCGAATATTCACCAACAACTGCAAGCTAGTGAACTTCTTAAACATATCAAACAGTACTATTTGACATTACAAATAAAGTTGAATTGGTAAGGCATACATAAAAGTAAAAATAAATAAATAAGTTGTCTTCCCCACAAGTAAACATTTATTCAACTAGACAGCATACTATAGCCTTTGATAAAGAGGAGAAAAACGTGAGAGATTATTGGCTGCCATGTGTTGCCCATGCTGGCAACCAAATTCCATGCAAATAAGTAGCATGAGAATCATATGGACTACAAGCTATATATGCAGCAAGAGATAAGGAGCAGTATGATGATTCCACGATTCGCTAAGGCATGAAAAGCAGATGATTGATGCAGCTAGGTAAACATGCCACAACCAATAAATAATTTCCCAGGAAAATAATTACACTTAATTGCCAATAATTTTGTCCCCTCAACGATAATTAATATAAGTGAAGAAGTGGTTCAAGAAGGCAGTTGGTACAGATTGAAAAGTTAATTTTAAAGAGTCCACAATAAGAAATAATCAAAAAGCAACACCAGCTCTCCAAAAATCCCCGAGGGACTATAACCAAGCAGTGTTCTAGCCTAAATCTCTCTACCATCCACCCAACACAAAGGCAAATGTCCTAGTGTGTCCATTGTGCTCTATCTGCTAGGCATGTACAATTGGTGTTATGCATAAACAGGAAGCACTATAACAAACTGACTCTCCTCCCTAACCAAAAATGTGTGGATGCCCAAGAGTGCCATTAATGATGGACAACCATTTATAAATCAATGCAGAGGATAGGCTACGGATGGTAATTTGATAACTGTACACTTCGCAGATAACAATAAAGGAAACAAATTCTCAAGCGTGTAATCGACAATAGCTTCTCTCCTACCTTCCAACTTCTGTATGGCTTTACTCATTGACTTCATTTCCCGTACTTGCACACCTAACAGATCCATAAGTTCCTTGAAGTATCTATTCTCTGACAAGGATGAAATAAATGTTATCAATCAAGAAGTTACATATTCAAGAAAAAGTATGAAAGTTGTTGCTCATTTTTCATCAGTCATTAATAACGAATTCAAAATAACTAAACAAAGAAACCAAAACACAAAACCATCGTATTTTTTATGATGAAAATCCAAGCGACAGAATATGCTAGAGTACAATAAACCTACCTTCAGTTTTTGAAACCAACATTTCCTGGCTTGCCTGTGCCACTTCAGCAGCTGCAGCTGCAGCAGCTTTTGCAGCAGCAGCAGCTTCCTCTGTCAAACTTGGTTTTGAGTTTGATTTGGCCACAGGATCCTCTTCTTCTTCCATTACAACTTTGCGAATCCAAGACTTCAAAGTAGGAATGATAGTTTTCTAAAACATAATGTGTGGTTGAGCTCACAAAGTTAATCTTATAGTGTGGTTGAGCTTAAAAATTTAAGATAGATGGAAAAGAGAAGTAATTAAAAAACCTAGCCTATTTAGGTACTCGTGTTTAAAATCGTAAGCATGCAATATGTGCCAACAAAAGCATAACATATTGAAGGTAAGAAGGTAAGGCACAGGCCAAACAAATAAGGGGACTAAATAACACAATCGTATAGAGCCCCTCCATTAATACCTTAAAAAGTACAGCTGCTCCAGCTCCTGAAGCAGCCAGTACTCCTACAGCAAGAAGAGCATGGGACCAGTGGAATCTGGAAAAGGTTCCTACTTTAGAAATGACACCAGCCGGAGTGACTACTGCAGGCTGCAGACTTTGACTTGGAGTCTGTGGATTAATATTTGCTGAAGACTTCGCATGCGAATCTTTATTCAATATTGCAAAGCAGATAGTACATGATTAGTGTGAGGAATAGCGAAAATTTGTTGACATTTTAACTCAATCAGAAAACCCACACCAATACAAATGTTTATTACCTTGATTTGTAACAGTTGTCGGCGCATTGGAAATAGTTGGGGTCGGATCCTGCCATTTACACAAAATGTCAGTTCCCAATTTGTCACATACACCCTCACAGCTATTAGTAACAGCAAGAATAAATAAATCTTTTCCTGGGATGATCCTATGGATGGGTCTCATACAACGAGAGAGGGACAAAAAAGGGTAACTTCCTTACAGGCACACGGCGAAAGGCTTCATCTATCTCCTCCTTCGTGAGGCCCTTCCTCTCAAGAAAGGATCGTCTATATATGACCGGAGATCCCCTAACTCTCGGGTGTGAAAGGAACTTTACAGCATTTTGCACTTCGTCCTCTCGCATTGGTTCTGAGTTCACAAACACAGATGGTGGAGAACTTTCTTTAGATGCCTCCGCCATATCTTGCTGATTCTCAAGTGTTGGCTGTACAACCTCTGAAGCTGTAGGTACAAAAGAAATTAATCCTCCATTATGGCAGTAGTGATGTCTAAAGTTTTCAACAAAAAAAGGTAACCGGGATATGTGTTTATGAACATATTCCACACTGTCTACATCTTCCTCAATTCATTTACAACACCATGTCACAATAGGAGCCACAAGGCTACAAAGTAAAAAGTTTCCAGAAGTGGGTTCAAACTATAAAATACACAGTCTAACCAGCAGCAACACCCTTGTACTGTATACGAAATTGCAATTAACAAATCTGTGCGTGCAAGATTCTGCACAATATAAAAAATATTAGGAACAGATCTCTCCCCTGGTGAACTTTGAGTGAGCCGGTTGAGTGGCCAAACACGCTGCTTGAAACGGCCTGCGAGGTACGGTGGCAACCTGGAATGGCGAAGGAAGATCCTGGGAAAGGAAGAACGATCCTGTACGTATGAAAGGTTTTCCTGGAATAAAGAAGAACAGGTTAGAAGGGCGCCGGAGTGTTTTCCGGCGTATCCCCTCCGACGGTCTGGTCAGTCTTTGAGTGAGAGAGAGGAAGGAGAAAACACTGAGAAAATCTGTGTTGTAGTAGAGAGTTTTCGATTGCATACCCGCTTTGCCTTTTGGGAGGAGTATTTATACCTTAAAAGCTCATGATTGCCGTCAGTGTGGTCAGTAGGTGATCATTAGGCACAGGTAGCGTGTGTATCGATTTGATGAGGAATGTCTTCTCTAATTGACTGCTCGGGGTCCCGAGCAATCAATGTTGAGTCATCGGGACGCCGACGGTACAATATGCTCCTTTCGGGAAGGATGCAATAAATGCTCTGTGATAGGAGCATTTATTGCCTTTCATATCCGAACCTTACCGCATTGAATGCGGTCTCGTCAACAGAAGGGTGCAATTAATTGTTTGCTTTCCCAAGCCATGTGTCAGTAACGGCGTGCAGTTTGTCTGTCTTTGATGTGACATCATTTGCCACGCGTCCATCCCTTACTGGCTGTGATTACTGTATTCCGGTATGTTCTGACATTACTTGTGTAAGACGAAGTCATGATGAATAGTCTAGACTGGCATAGGCTGATGGTCCGTACGTCAGTAGCTTTATCCTGGAGTAGAGGAAGCGTCCAGGACGGAGTGACTCTCGGCACAGAGGAAAGGCCCACCTCGGGGACCGAGAGTGGTATGTTTCCGAGGTACATGGGTGACCGAGGACACGTGTTGTTGTATATTACACCGAATACATGATCCTATACGAGAAGTATCTCGGGGGGAGGACACTTGTTGCCGATGGTGCTTAAATCCAAGCAACACTGTTCCAAGACACCCCGAGGACACGTGTCTTCATCTTAGGGCTTTTTCAGAAGAGTCCCATCAACTGCCCCCCAGCCTTCGATCTTCTGACACCAAGGGCACGCGTTGGAAGGGGACGAAGGGTTTCCCAACTGCCATCCGTCCTTCATTATGGCCTCGAGCCGCTTTCCCCGGCTTGGGATGTCGCGCGCATTAAATGCGCCGTTTCGGTTCTCCCGCCTAATGATGAAAATTTCCCCCTATATAAAGGGGGTTCTTCTCTGGTTTCCATCGTTTTGCCATTTCGATCTTCTGTCCAGAGTACGCCTTTCTTGATCTTTCGCCGGAGTTCTTGTCTCTTCTGCCATCGTCGACTGCTCTTTCTCTCAAAATCACAGAGCCAGCAAACCCATTGTTGATTCCTGGACTTTCTGGTGGGAGTCGTTTTAAAGTTTTTCCTGAAAAACTCCATTTTTGACGTTTCGGGTGAGTTTCACAACCTTCTTTTATCGTCCTCCTAGCCTTTTGGTTTTCCGATTGAACGGTGGTGTCATCCGGTCGGCACGTCTTGATTTAAACCCTCGGGGAACTTCCTCGGGTTTTCAAGAGTAAACATCTTTTCCTTCCTTTTCTTTTAGAGATGCCTCGTCGTCGCCCTGCTCCCGAGAATCCACCGGCTGGTCCCTCGGGGTCAGGGAAATACAAGGTGAAAGGCGAGGAGCAGATCGATAGGTTTAGGGTCAAGTACGGCATTCTCCCGTGCGTAGACGTAGTGGATTTCAACCCATCGGTACACTCATCTATCCTCGGGGCCGAGGACGCCATGCCCTTCTATACCAAGGCTATCATAGAGGGTGGAATTAGGTTTCCTTTACCCCCCTTGCTTCTTCAGTTCCTGTCTCGCTTTCGCCTCTTCCCCGGGCAATGCTGCCTTAATGTATTTTGAATAATCATGGGGGTCCTAGAGCTCAATAGGCGCCTCGGATGAATATTGGGCTTAATGATCTCCTTTTCTGTTATTCCCTCCTTAGGGTCATGCCTCACCAACACTTCTACCTCAAAGCTAGGGACCCTTCCATGTACCTTGTGACCCATCTTCCTGACTCGGACAAGGGGTACAAGGATGACATCCTAATCTTCAAGGGATCTTGGCAGAGAGGTGTTGGTCCCGAGTACAATCACTTATTATGCCCTCTGGGATGGAGAACGACAAGTACGTCGATTCCTTCGGGTTTTTTGTTTGTTTCTCGGGACTTCTCATGTTTATGATAATCTTTTTTTTGTTGTGCAGATATTCCTTCTGGGAAACAGCTCCTCCTCCTCGGTCGCTGGTGAACTTTGCCGACCTGATCACTGTTTGGAGTTTCACGGGCGACAACGGGTTTGGCCGTGCTGCTCACATCCTGCTGAACTATACCTCCGGGTATAAGAAGTTTTCACAGCTTCCTCAACCTTTCGAGCCTTCGCAGTGGTCAGAGCTCTTCGATCAGGCGGCGAGGCTAGAGGTCGAGGAAAACTTGGAGGAAGACCCGGATCGGGCTTCAGAGGGAGAGGTCGAGGGAGTTGCTGAAGAGGTCGGGGTCAGAGAGGACGTTGCTCCTTCGGACGCCGAGGTGGGGACTCCGAGAGGAGACTTGTGGCCTGACTTTCAAATTCTTCAATCTTAGGACGCCGAGGACGCGCTTGAAGTCGCGATGTCAAATACTCCCCGTATCGACCTCGGGTTCTTGAGGCAGAGGCAGGCCCTTGCAGCCGGGAGAGGTCGAGGAACGACCGGCGGCGTCTCCTCAGCGGGACCAGTTCTGCCCCATCATCAAGGGTTCCATATCGGGGTCAGGTGCGAGACCGGGACCCTCAGGTGGAGGAGGAGAGGAGGGTGAAGCATCGGCACGATGGCCTTAGCCGAGGACCCAGGGCGCCTCCCGCTCAGCAGCAAAGCGGGAGGGGTCGTGGATTACCGCCCGCTCCTCCGCAACAGCAGCCGCAGCAGCAGCAACAGCAGCCCCGACAGCAACAACAACAGCAGCAGACCCCTCCTCCCGTTCCGCCTCGGGTGGAGGCCGCGGAGTGGAATCCCCGAGCCACTGATCACATGAGCCGAGTGATCAGGGTCGACGATTCTATTCTGTCGGATCCTCATGTCGCTAATGCAGTGAGTGAGACACTGCATTTCGAGGCCGACATGGAGGCTCATAGGGGCGATCAACCAACGTGTTGTTCTGCTCCATCATCCAGAACTCCCTGGTGGTGAGTTTATTTTTGCTTTGGTTTTTTTTTCACTCGTCTTCCATTTTTGTGATTAACACTTCTTTGCTCCTTTGCAGGCTACCCAGCAGATTTCTATCATTGCTGGTCGGTACCATGCGTCCAGAATGGACCTCCAGAGGGCCCGAGGTCAGAAGAAGGAGGCGAAGCGGCCCTCGCCCGGGCAATGGAGGATGTAGCTGCCCGGGATTCCACCCTGGCGGGGCAGGCTGCTCAGATAGAGCAACTCCTCAAGGACGCCGAATCGGCCAAGGTGGGCGCTGAAAAGCTAAGTGCCGCACTTGCCGATGCTGAGAGGAGGATTACTGAGCAAACGCAGCGGCTCTCTGCTGCGGAGGAGAGGGCAGTGGGCTCCGAGGAAAGCTGTCTGGCCCTTACCCAGGAGCTAGACAGGATCAGAGCCGAGGAACTGAACCGGAAGTCGGAGGAACAACTCCTGGAGGAGTTTGCCGATGACGTGCTCCCCGCTCTTGAAGAAAATAGCAAAGAGTTCTTCAAGAAAGGGTGGGACGAGGCGCTCCAGGCTGCTGGAGTCCCGTCAGACTCCCCTCTCTTCCAAGTGCACAAGTATGTGCCCTCGGCAGAGATGGCACAGGCAGAAGCACAGGTTGCTGCCGAGGATGAAGCCCCTACGCCGATGCAGACCTCGGCTGATGCTCCCGAGGCGGTGATAGTGGACTTGTCCGAGGACGCTCCGTCGGAACATGCTCCTGAACCTCAAGTTGCTCAAGCTGTTCCCGCTGCCGAAGTTCTTCTCTTGCCTGCTCCAGAAGCTTCTCAACCATTTATCGCTGACTCGCCCTCGGCTGAAGTTCTGGAGGTGCCTGGAGCCCGATGAAGCTGCTTTTTTTTTTTTACTGATTGTATCCCTTCTGCTTTCCTTTTGTAGCCTTCGGGGACGCAAAGCCCCTATTTTTGGAAATAAATAACAAGTTTTTCTTTCCTTCTTCTGTGTACAGTAGTGTTTTGCTTTTCTTTACTTCTGTGTAGAATAAATCATAAGTTTTTTGAACTGTCTTCGGGGCGTGCTGGCCCGTTCCGGAGGCAAGATCTTGTATCTACTCTGGGGACTGGAGTGCTTGTGTTTTGTTCCCAGGGCCATGTTCTTTATGGATGCTTGTTCCTGCATTTGCTTCGGGGACAGGAGTCCTTGAACTCTGTCCCCAGGGCCGTACCCTTGCAGGAGGCTTGCTCCTGTATGTGCTTCGGGGACGAGAGTCCTTGAACTCTGTCCCCAGGGCCATACCCTTGCAGGAGGCTTGCTCCTGTATGTACTTCGGGGACGAGAGTCCTTGAACTCTGTCCCCAGGGCCATACCCTTGCAGGAGGCTTGCTCCTGTATGTGCTTCGGGGACGAGAGTCCTTGAACTCTGTCCCCAGGGCCATACCCTTGCAGGAGGCTTGCTCCTGT